ACTTCAGTAGGAAAATACTTACCTAAACACATCAATAATAAACAAACAATTGTCATTAGTTATGATATACTAAATAGACTACATTCATGTTTCCCATCCACACATGCATATACCACCTCATAATGGCATAGATATTATACACGGAACAGGATTGGAAACAGGATCACGTGAGCGCATTATGCATTGAAACCAACCTAGTTTTCCGGGAACTAGTTAATTCGTGGTTATTAAGAGTGAAATTTGAATTCCATAATGGAGATGAATGGAGATTGTTAAAAATACTTTGTGGGACTTTCTAGGCTATACCCGGCGGTTTTATGACAAGGTATTTAGCTCTATAGCTACTTCTTAACATCCTACAGTGGACTAAGACGTTTTTTATGGTGCGCATCTGTTAGTTTGAGAGTAATGGCATCCTGGCTTAAGATCCCTTTGTTTTAGCACGCCATAACTTTTTGAAACATAGATATAAGCACTAATAGATGCCTTATTCCACTAAAGACCCTTTAGAGGTAGCTATAAAGGCTCCTACTAGCCTGCTTTGTCGTCTGATGTAGTTGCTAGAGTCCCACAAACTTTCTCCATTCATCTCCATTACGGTCACCGGGGCCCGGCAAACTAGGTTGGTTTCGATGCATAATGTGCTCACGTGATCCTGTTTCCAATCCTGTTCCGTGTATAATATCTATGATAATGGCAGATATTCATTGACTATACACATAATATTAACAATAATGAATAATACTGGTCACTCACATCAGCTTTATCTACATTATAAGAAAGAAACTATAGAGTATGAATCTAATTTGAATGGCCATTCAGTAAAACCGCATTTTAAAAGATGCAGTGATTATTATCATCATCAAACTCACTAATATCATCCAGTATAGTTTGTCCCAGTGATACATTAGTACTGATTGTACACAATACATTAGCAAATGTATGTAAACTGTTGGGATCAGTTTGAACAACTTCTTTGACAGCAGTTAATAGAGCCTCACGTTGATTAGGAATAGAGGGACTAGCTGACACCACTCTACTAACTGCTTCTTGTGTTAACCATATGTTCACCATAAAGTAACTGAGCAATAGCATTAGGATCACAAAGAGACTGAGACAGGACAGTATGACGATTATTAAAAATATTAATAAGAACCTGATGTTCTATGATAGAAAATACAATGATTATAGTTACATACAGTTATGGTTGACTCACTTAACTTCTCAGGTACAGCAGTTTCATTCATAGATCGTAGAGCATCTGACAGTGAGTCCAAGTTGGCTCCTCCTCTACTGTCAACATTATCAGCTCTACCTAACCATTGGGAGAGACTCTTTGTCATACAGCGAGATACATCACGAGGATGATTCTTTTCTATGTCGTCAAGTGTACTCTTCCTTAGTCCTAGTCTCAGTCCAAGGTCATACCAATTTGCATTAGGAAAGCCACATCTCTTCAATAAGTCCAGAACATCAACAAGATCATCAACACCTAGGTATTTTTGCGGTATTTTATACATTGTACAACAAAATCAAAATGGCGGAATAAATGTTCATACCTAAACAAGTTTGACTGGATCTAGTAGCCATAGTTCCATTAGAATAAGTGCAGCTAGTGTATCCTGACCTGAATCAGGAGCTAACCAGAGATAGTACAGAGCGAAAGAACAACG